ACACACACACACACACACACACACACACATCCCCCTAAGGTTGTGTAGATAGCTGGCTCTGTTTTGAAGACTCAAAAATGCGAACAGCCACTTTCAGCTCTGCTGGGAAACTGATTCTCTGACCTGTGAGTCTCCATCCATGGACACTGTTGAACACCACGCTTGTCCTCCTCGAGAATCCAGAGAGTTCTTGGGCGTTGTGTTCTCATGCCTCACCTAGCTTTCTGAAGATGCGGTTGTAGCTCAGTGTCTGAAAAGATCCTTCAGTGTCGATTCCTATGGCATGGCAACATATGCCGCAGAAAGTCCGAATGCGACCCTCAGCAAATATACCTCCAGGAATGAGGTAGTGTTTGTTTAGTGACAGTATCCCAGCCCATTGATACCTTTTGGTACTCTGAAATAATTGGAACAGTATTTACTCTTTGGAAGGAAAATCAAAGCCATTTTTAGATTAAAGGCCCTAGCATTGCTGAACTGTCCCCCTAAAGTAACGCGTTTTCTACCTAAAACTTAAGAGATGACAAAGGTGGGAAGGGCTCTTCTCTGTCCTCCGTCCGTTGCCCTCTTTAAGATCGTTTCGTACTGAGACTCCCCTGGGTGCTGCTATGACTCATTTTCCTGCCTCCACTTTGCAGCGCAGCGTCTCCGAGAACTCCCTGGTGGCCATGGATTTTTCTGGGCAAACAGGAAGAGTGATCGAGAATCCAGTTGAGGCCCAGAGTGCAGCTCTGGAAGAGGGCCATGCCTGGAGGGTAAGCCCTGGCTGCACCCATCTAGATGGGCTCCCTCGTGGTTGCATCCCCACCACGTGGGTGTGCTCTGTGGGTGTCGGCGCGCAGGTGGGTGGCTGGCTGGAGGTATCTGAGTTCTGAACAGCACGAGGCACTTACTAATTGGTGTTGCTCCACATCCCCATTGCCACCACAGAGGGTGCCGGAGCAGAGTAGGCCTACTCTGCTGTCGAGTTCATTCTGGGAGTCTAGGGCGGAGTGCGCAGAGCGTGATCAAGACTCCTTGCCCCAGGGTCCTTTCACCTCCAGCGCTTAGATCCTTATCTCCAGATGGGAAGAATGTCCCCCATTACTTAACCTTCTTTTTCTGAGACTTTAAGATCATATATGAAACACGAGCCTGGAGCTCTGGCTCAGAAAGCATGCTCTGTTTTCACCTCCTAGGATGAGGCGAAAGGAGAAAATCCTCAGAGAACAAGGATTCTGTATCAACCACTCTTTTGTGAAACTGCTTACATTGAGCTGTTGACTCATGATTTTCTGCTGTGAGTTAGCGGAGTTTCACACTATTTTCTTCACCTCACTTCTGTGTCAAAGCAAGAGTCCTTTCTGTAAGACTTGCAGTGGTCACTAGAAATCTACCAGGTGGCTTTTGTTGTCATCATCAATAACTACGGACCATAACATTTTTCTCGGTGGGTAGCTCTGGGTTCTAGGTGGCCTCACACCGTGGATAGTGGCCTTTGTCCGTGGCCTCCGAGGTGCTTTCTGGTCTAGCACCAGCCACTTGTCCTGAGGTTGACTGTATCAGTGACTTGCTGCTTGTGTCGGTCTATTGTCTCTAGTGCTAACGTGGGGATTTCTTTTGCAGAAGCGAAGCACACGGATGAATATCCTAGGTAGCCAAAGCCCCCTCCACCCTTCTACCCTAAGTACAGGTAAACACAGCACATTGGCCTGATCTCTTTGTACATAAGGGGAATCAAATGGCTCCCTCCAGCCCGGCCCCCGGCCCAAGCAGCATTTGAAGCGTGTGCACCATGAAAGGTGTCCACAGTGGGAATCGTGGGGCTCTTAGTTCATCAAGACTTAGTTGTGTTTTGAAGAAGTCAGTTCTGCAGGGATGACAAGATCCTAACGTCCTGTTGTCTTCTCTCCAACAGTGATCCACAGGACACAACATTGGTTTCACGGCAGGATCTCTAGGGAGGAGTCACACCGGATTATTAAACAGCAAGGACTTGTGGATGGGTAAGGAAACAACTACCACTTTTCATTTTTTGAACTTGTTTATTTTTCTGGACACACATGACTTAATTAAACAGAGCACCCTAGCTTGGCAGTCAGTAATTTCAAACAGGAGAAAAGAGAGGATTGGCGGGTTAAGTGGTAAACAAGTGTGATACAGCCAGTCAATGGCAGGGGAGATTCAAATCCATGTCTTGGCACATTCTATCTATAATGATCTCTTTCCTTGATGACATTCAAATAGACTAAGAACACAAATTACTTGTATTCACTTAATAAGATAATATTTTTTTAAATTTTTACCTGCGTATCTTGATTGGTGTATTTTTTTTTTTCCGGTGAGGTTTTGCTGAAAGGGTGCCAGCCCAACTTGTAGTCACTTAAAACATTGAAGATCAGATTTAATATGTGTGTCTGTAGTTGATTGGGTGGACGATCAGATTTAATATGTGTGTTCGCAGTTAATTGAATGGAAGATCAGATGTAATATGTTTATTTGCCATTGATTGGGTGGCTCTGAATATCTGGGCCGGCTCAGCTGAAGCTGGTTGATCCAGGATGATTTCCTTCACTTAGCTGGTATTGGTTAATGGCCATGGGTGACTGGACTTCATGGGTCTAGCTGGTTAGCCTGGATGTACACATATAGTGGCAGGTGCCGGACTCTCCGAACAGCAAGAGCGGTCATTATGTAGCACAAATCCAGTTTCCCCTTGGTAATCAAGATCAATCACATCACTCGGTACAGTAGCACCTGTCTTTACCTGTTGAACCAGAAGCACGAGAAGCCCAAAATGGCCAGGGAGCATTCTTCACTGCCAGTTCAACAGAATCAGTGCAGGGTTTCCAAGGGGGGGTACCGTATATACTCAAGTATAAGCCAATCCAAATGTTAGCCGAGGCAACTTAATTTTACCACAAAAACTGCATTAAAATATGCTGAAAAACTCAGCTTATACACCAGTATATGTGGTATGTACTTGTGCGTATGGTATATACACAAGTACATATGGTATATACTTTTGAACTTGGACTCCAGACCTGAAGAGCATAGGGTCGCTGGGAAAGGAAGTAAAGCTGCTGCACTAGTAAGACGAATAGTGAGTGGTGCCGCTCCTGGTTCCACTCCTTCCTTCCTGGATCCATGAATCCTGGCTATTGGAAACACTGCACCATAGATTACCTCCTGGTTTAGAGCATATACAGCCACCTGGAGAGCATTGCCTCAACCCTGCAAGGGGGTGCCAACTACCGGACACCGTAATTGTGTCTTTAGAAGGCCACTCTATTGTTCTATCAAGCCGGCTGCTTCAGGATGATGAGGAATCTGGTCTGACCAGCGGATTCTGTGGGCATGGGTCCATTGCCACACTTCTTTTGCTATAAAGTGAGTTCCTTGATCAGAAGCAATGCTATGCGGGATATCATCCTGGTGGATAAGACATTCTATAAGTCCACAAATGGTAGTTTTAGCAGAAGAAGTGCTTGCAGGGAAGACAAATCTGTATCCAGAGTAATTGTCTATTCCAGTAAGAGCAAAGCTATGCCCTTTCCATGATTCAAGTGGTCCTAAGTAATCTGGTTGATATCCCCCAAAGAGTCGTCCCATGTCTTGGACTTGGTGTTGGATCTGCTGCTGGCAGATGGAGCACTCAACAGTGGCATGTCCATGCTGCTGAACCCACACATAACCTTCATGCCTACCAGCCTGGCCACTTTGTTCATGTGTATGTGCCATCCTATCCACTTGATTGTTAAAGTCTTCCTCTGCAAAGAAGAAACACTTTGGTAAGCATTCACACAAGACACAAATATCTGCAGTTTTAAGGCCATGCAGAGCGGTCTATCCACACACCTTTTCCCACACTTTCTTGTCACCCATTTTCCAATCATGCTCCTTCCTCGTCTCTGACCATGCAGCTAAGCCATTGGTCACAGCCCATGAATCAGTATACAGTTGTATATTTGCCCGTCCCTCCTTCCAAACAAACTGAAACACCAGGTGAACTGCTGGAAGTTATGCCCATGGGAGGCTTTCCTTTCAGCACTGTCCTTCGGGGAGGTACCAGAAATGGGCTGTAGTGCTGCTGCTGCCACCCACTTACAAATGGTACCTGCATGTTGTGCAGCAAACCAAGCATGAGTTGTCTGTTCCTCAATGAACTGAGCATAAGAACTCTCTAGGAGGCCACCGATCCAGACTGGGAGGAGGAAGATACTGTGACGGAAGTGGAAATTGTAGCCATTTGGGTCGCTTCTTCATGCAGATTAATTGTACCTTTATGCCCTTCTCTATACCACTTCCATTTAATGATGATTGTTGCTGTGCACATCCAACTGTATGGCTCTGTGGGTCAGTCAACAGCCAGTGCAGCTGGGCAGCTCAGGCCTCCTGGTGACGTGGTGACCCATGGAGAGGGGTTCAGTCTCCAATAAGGCCCAGTGACAGGCTAAAAGCTATTTTTCTAAAGGGGGTTAGATATCTGCAGAGGATAGCAGACCTTTTCTCCCAAATTCCGAGGGTCTGCACTGTGATTCACAAATAGGTGCCTGCCAAAGACCCTAACCTACATCTGTACCTGCCACTGACTCCTCGGACACCAATGGGTCACCTAGGTCTGGCGGCCCACGTAGCAAAGTAACTTGCCCAGCAGCCTGAACCTGTTGTATAGCCGGCAGCTTTTTGAGTCACTTAATATGTATGTCAGAACAACACACCCAGATGAGGGATGTGCTGCCTCCAGAATCCAAAAAGGCCCCCACCCTCCAGGCATTGTGCCCCCTTTTAGTTATGGGAGGGACCAGATGCAATAACACCCCTCACTTTTGTAGGAATATCTTGACATGCCCCATACCACTAGACCCCTAGAAATTTCACTGTGATCGAAATTAGGTTGGTTTCCCATCCTCTCACACAAAAATGTTGTACTGATGAATTTAAAGTCATTGACAGATCTTCCTCCCTGGGCTCAGCCAGTATAAAGCCATCAGTGTAATGGACTCGTGAGACAGTCTGTGGAGCAGAAAGGCAGTCAAAGTCCCTGCAGACTAAATTATGGCACAGTCCTGCAGAGTGGACATAACACTGGGCGGGCGAGTTGTGCAAGTGTACAGTTGTCCCTGCCGGCTGAAGAAGGCAAGCCGCTTCTGGTGGTCCTTTAAGAGGAGAAATGAGGAAAAGGCATCGGTCAGATCTGGGGCTGCATACCATGTACTAGGAGAAGTATTAATTTGTTCAAACAGTAAAACCACATCTGGAATAGCAGCTGCAATTGGCGTCACCACGGGGTTAAGTTTACAATAATCCACTGCCATTCTATAAGACCCATCTGTTAGTCACGCAGGCCACATTGGTGGTTAAAGGGAGATATGGTGGGGATGTGAGTCCCCCCCACGACATCCTTCAAGTCCTTGATGGGGGCACTAGTCTCTTCATGCCCTCCAGGAATACACTATTGCTTTTGGTTAACTATTTTCTTAGGCAAAGGCACTTCTAAGGGGGTCCATTTGAGTTTTCTAACATAATAACCTTATAACCTTAGGAATCCTTTGTGGGAGTTCTAGTTGCTGAATTATGTCTGTTACAATTATGCATTCTTGCACTGGACAAATGACAACAGGATACGTTTGGGGACCCACCAGACCCACAGTGAGATGAACTGAGCTAAAACTTCATTAACAACTGACTTCCATATGTCCCCACTCTAACTGATGGGCCTTTAAAACATTTTAGATCTCCTTGAAGTCACTCTTACAAAAGGCCACCGATCCCTTCGGAAGACCTAACAGTGTAAACCTTTGGCGACGTGCAGTGGGGTCCTTCCTCCAAGGGACCAGGCCTCCACTTAGTTCAAGGGATTGTTGGCCTGTACACTGGCTCAAATCTGGGAAATGATTGAGGGGTCCTGACTCTGTCTGTTGATGATTTGACTTGGGTTGCTGTTCACCTGTTCTAGAATTCTAAAGCTCTTTCTTACACACATGTGAGTGTCTATGAACTTGTTTCTCGAGTCAACCCAGACTAACACAGTCAGGTGCCAAGGTAATACAACTTCAAGTTTTCTTAATGCAGGCCATCTTGTAGCTATGATTCAGTGAAACAGCCACATAAACCGTTAAATCCTCTCAACCCCTGTAGTTGAAACATTGAATGAAGAATCTGTGTTTAATGGGCCCATATCAATACACTCATACTGAGCTAACCTTGTGTACCTTGCTTCAGCATCTCATACCCTTAGGAACCATTCCCATGAGTATTCCCCAGATTTCTGTCTATACATATTAGGAAACTCCACAGTTGTTTACAAGTATAGTGCACTTCTTCATGGGTTTCTGCGTTAATCTGGGTTGACTAGAGAAACAAATTCATAGATTTCTTGTGTGGCAGAGAGAACTTTATATACAAGAGCAATTGAATATTGAGAAAACATCCCAGCCTGATCCAGATCAAGTCCATAAGTCCTCTATTACCCCATATATCGATACTAGTCCATAAATTCTTCTTTAGACTCACACAGCCATGCAATGACTCTGAATGCAGGAAGATCACAGGCCAGTGGGTGGGAAGTCTTGGGGATCCAGTGGTATAAGCATCTCAGCACTGGCAGGAGTCTCCATGTGGCTCCTTCAGCTCCAGAGCTCTAGCGTAGCTCTTTGTGTCTTGTTGACAGGGGTGTCTTGAGGGGAGTGTGTCTGTGTCCCACCTCCAACGAGCTATTTATCTCTCTAGCGCTTCCAAATGAGGTTGTCAGGCTGCGACCTGATTGACAGACTAAACCCCACCCCTTCACCCTTAAGTCTCAAATTGACAACAAACTATGTAACTACCACAGTCACCATCTGTACCTCAACTGTAGGAACTCTGAGGCTTAATTCTGGCTATAAGATTAGAAGAAATAATGAGTGGTGAAGACGTTTCCCGGGGACTCTCAGCAGTATCTTGTAAGGCATCTCCCCCAGGCAGTGCTCCAGACGCTGCCCGTGTGACGTCCCAGCAGCACAGT